TTTTTTTTTTTTTTTTTTGGTAGAGACAGGGTTTCACCATGTTGGCCTGGCTGCTCTTGAACTCCTGACCTCAGGTGATCCACCCACCTTAGCCTCCCAAAGTGCTGGGATTACAAGGATGAGCCAATATGCCCCGGCCTCTTCCATTCTTTTAATTCAATGAGGGTCCTTGGCTGACACCTAGTGGAAAACTTGGAAACTTCTTGGAAATAGCTATATTGCCCATTAGCATATGTGATAAGTAAACTTAACTCTTGTCCAAATTAATTAAGAATAAAGGTGAAGGTATTTTGCATTTTATATATTAGCATGGTTCTGTAATTGCATTTCCCAGAGACTGAGCTAACATTTGTGTTTGAAATTAAATTCTGAATGTACAAGAGAGATAGATATTAGTGCTACAAAAATTGAAACGTTTGTTTTCTCTAAATTAAGGTGACCGTGTTGAGGCTCCCCCCACCCACCGCCACCCCACACTTTTTATCTAAATGTGATTGCCACTTAGCTGAAATCACAGATTTTAGCAAAATAGAGTAAATTTCTTTTTTTTTTTTTTTTTTTGTGATGGAGTTTTCTTCTTGTCTGGAATACAATGGTGTGATCTCAGCTTGCTGCAACCTCTGCCTCCCAGGTTCAAGCAATTCTCCTGCCTCAGCTTCCTGGTAGCTGGGATTGCAGGCATGCACCACCACACCCAGCTAATTTTTTGTATTTTTAGTAGAGACGGGGTTTTTCCATGTTGGTCCGGCTGGTCTCAAACTCCAGACCTCAGGTGACCTGCCCGCCTCGGCCTCCCAAAGGGCTAGGATTACAGGCATGAGTCACCACGCCCGGCCTAAAATTATTTAAAAGTTATGTTTAGCATAGTGTTTTGTAGGTTAAATTATACTACCCTTTAAAAAATGAAAATGACATTAACGAGGCAAGAAAGGCTACAGTCCCCTAGAACAGCAATATTCAGCCTTTTGGGCACCAGGGGTTAGTGTTGTGGAAGACAGTTTTTCCACGGACTGAGACAGGGTGGCGGTTTGGGATAATGAAAGCACATTATATTTATTGTGCACTCTATTTATATTAGTATATGCTAATACAGAATGAAATAGTTCTGCAGCTCACCATGATGTAGAATCAGAGGGAGCCCTGAGCTTGTTTTTCTGCAACGAGAGGTCCCGTCGGGGGGTGATGGGAGACAGTGACACCCCAGGGCGTTGCGTATGTCCAGTCTGCTCTGTAATCTCACTTTGGTTGCTGTCACTGCAGAAAACCCTGCTTCACAAAGACAGGATATTGGAAGTGGAAGCAGGATTTTCAGGCTTGTGTGGCAATCTCAGGATGTCTGCCTTCACTTTAATCTGGAATGTATGGAGATTTGAAGTTGTTGCAAACATACTTTTTTTTTTTTTTTTTGAGACAGTCTCACTCTGTCACCCTGGCTGGAGTGCAGTGGCGTGATCTCAGCTCACTGCAACCTCCACCTCCTGGGTTCAAGCGATTCTCCTTCCTCAGCCTCCTGAGTAGCTGGGACTACAGGCAAACACCACCACACCTGTCTTTTCGTAGAGACAGGGTTTCAACATGTTGGTCAGGCTGGTCTCAAACTCCTGACCTCAGGTGATCCGCCTGCCTCGGCCTCCCAAAGTGCTGGGATTGCAGGTGTGAGCCACTGCGCCTGGCTCAAACATACTTTTAAGGGCACCAGATGCAGCTGTACAATTGAAGTACATCAACTCACTTGCCACGATGCAGCTTAAGTGCCCCTTGTCACTCACTGACAGGGTTTTGATATGAATCTGCAAACAACTGATTTATTATGGTCTCTGTGCAGTCAAACCTCTCTGCTGATGCTTTTCTGTATTTGCAGCTGCTCCTCAGTGCTAGCATCACTGCCTCGGCTCCAGCTCAGCTCATCGGGCATTAGATTCTCATAAGGAGTGCTGTAACCTAGATCCCTCACATGCATAATTCACAGTAGGGTTCATGCTCTTATGAGTATCTAATGCTGCCACTGATCTGCCCGGAGGCAGAGCTCAGGCTATAATGCGAGCCATGAGGAGCGGCTGTAGATTCAGATGAAGCTTCCCTCTCTTGCCCACCCCTCACCTCCCACTGTGCAGCCTGGTTCCTAACAGGCCATGAACTGGTACCAGTCTGTGGCTCAGGGGTTGGGGACCCCTGCCCTAGGAGGGCGTGCAGAACTCGCTGGTTGAGCTGATCATTGAGTCCTAATGACCATTCTGAAAGAGAGGTTTCATGATCCCACTGTCCAGTTGAGGAAGCACATTCTGGGATGGGAGAGCACCCACTTAGTGAAGTGCCTGAGCTGGGACCACAGATCACGTTGTCCTTCAGAGCTGTCCCACTCTGGGAAAATCTGGGGCACACAGAAGAGATGGGAGGTGCAGGGAGTTGGGGGAAATAGACTTCGCTCATGATAATTACATAGCATTCTGCAGGGGACAGACAGGAAACTGCCAGCAGCCATTTTGCAATTAACTCAAGATAGTTACAAGGCCCCCAGTGTTGTGATGAGGGCTGGTGATAAAGACATCAGGCTCCTCTCGACTGTAATCCCAGCACTTTGGGAGGCCAAGGCGAACGGATCATGAGGTCAGATCAAGACCATCCTGGCTAACACAGTGAAACCCCATCTCTACTAAAAATAAGAAAAATTAGCTGGGCATGGTGGCAGGCACCTGTAGTCCCAGCTATTTGGGAGTCTGAGACAGGAGAATCGCTTGAACCTGGAAGGCGGAGGCTGCAGTGAGCCGAGATCGCGCCTCTGCATTCCAGCCTGGGTGACAGAGCGAAACTCCTTGTCAAAAAAAAAAAATGGACACCCCCAGTGTCGTGGTGAGGGCTGGTGATAAAGATATCACGCTCCATGTATTGAGCTTTTGGGTCAGTAGATCAGGGTTGGGTGGCAAGAATCTGCATTTTTAATAAGCTGGCCAGTGGGTGCTAAATATCAGCCAGGCTTAGGAACCAGCCTCCCTCCCCCCTCTTTTGCAGGGTTGGGGGTGCAGTCTTAGCTCCAGTGCCTCGGTAGCATAGCAGCTATTACCCACATGAGGGCGCTCATCTGTCTGAATTCCCTGAACTATGTGTTAATGCTTAAAAGAAATAACGAGTTTTTAAACGTATATAAAAATCTGTTTATTCGGGTGGGATAAGACCTGTGTTGAGATTCGGAGTTTAACAAGGAAAAAAAAAGCAATTGGAATTACAACTCCACTTTCTGTCTTTCAGGCCAAGCAAGCAATCCTTGAAATGGATGCCGTTCGTAAGTTTTATTTCCTTAACACAATTTGAAACTTCATTGTCTATTTGTATCTATCACATTTTCTATCTTAAAGTTCATGAAAATGTCAATTGTGAGAAAATAGCATCTCTCCTTTTTTTTTTTTTTTTTTCTTTTTACAATCAAGTAGATGAAGAGAGAAAATAGTATCTCTCCATTCATTGTTTGAACAATTGGGTAGACAGTATCGTCCCTTCTTAGCACATTGGCTTGTTTTTCTGCATTGGTTCTCCCAGATTTATCTGAGTCACTTGATGGCTGGCTACTGTCTGGGTTTCTGCATTAACCAGTAATGTCAGTTATGTCTCCACAGTCAACTCGTCCCGCCCCACCTCTACCACCACCAAAAAACAGGGCTTCACGATGCATTTCTCACTTTGGCCAGGCGTGGTGGCTCACGCCTGTAATCCCAGCACTTTGGGAGGCCGAGACAGGTGGATCACTTGAGGTCAGGAATTCAAGACCAGCCTGGCCAACACTGCAAAACCCTGTCTCTACTAAAAATACAAAAATTAGCTGGGCATGGTGATGGCCACCTGTAATCCCAGTTACTCAGGAGGCTGAGGCAGGAGAATTACTTGAACCTGGGAAGTGGAGGCTTCAATGAGCTGAGATCGCGCCAGTGCAAGACTCCGTCTCCCAGAGTCAGAAAACACTCTGAAAAGAGGCGAAAGAACCCTGTGAAGAGAAGGCGAGGTCTTGAATGGGCATGTGTAGATCAGGAGGGAAAATGAAGGAGGCTGGAAACTGGAGAAGTTGGCTATTATTGTGACTAACTCCATTCAGCAAAACAATTTGCTGAATGCCCGACTCTGGGCAAGCACTCGGAAGTCAATTCGATTCTGAGTGTCCAGAATTATGTCAAGCCACTAACTGGTGCCACACGGATCTCTTCCAGGCCTAGGCCTGGGCCAGAGCAGTCCAGCCTGAGGCAGCGACATTATTTGCCCAGCCCCGAGTTTGAACTTGGCTGAATATGAGCAGAGTAGGCCAGCCCATTGGGTCAGATGACCACATTATGAAACTTTCCATTGACTTTGGTCTTTTTGATCCTCAGAATATCTCTCTGAACTTGAGATACCTTTGAAGAGCCTTCCCCCTGATTTTGTTTTGCTTTGAGACAGAGTCTCACCCAGGCTGGAGTGCAGTGGCGTGATCTCAGCTCACTATAACCTCCGCCTCCTGGACTGGAGCAATTCTCCTGCCTCATCCTCCTCAGTAGCTGAGATTACAGGCGTGTGCCACCATGCCTAGCTAATATTTTGTATTTGTAGTAGAGATGGGGTTTCTCTATGTTGGCCAGGATGGTCTCAAACTCCTGACCTTAAGTGATCCTCCTGACTTGGCCTCCCAAAGGGCTGGGATTACAGGCATGAGCCACCGCACCCGGCCCCTTCCCCCTAATTAGGGGAGCACTCGTTCATGGCTTGTTGTAAATTGTTTGCCCCTAGGCTAGGGTGCAGGTGATCATTGAATATGCATCAGTACCTTACCATTAAACCAGGGTTCCTTAACCCAAAGTCTCTGTATCCCTTAAATGGTACAAAGACACGAACTTGATGAAATTAAATGAAAATTTCTTTTCTGATAAGGCAATCTAAAGCATTTGTCAGATGCTCGGAGGAATGATATCTAGAAAAATATTAAGAGTCAGGCCGGGCGCGGTGGCTCA